TTAGCTTCTCGTCAAACAGGTTGCAAAGACCTAGCGTGCTTGGTGCTTTCGCCGAGCTGTTAGGCCCTCTTGCTTCCTGATTGACGTTTGTTGCCGCGGAGCAGTTTGGGTTAGTTGACAGTTTGACTTACTGCTGCAGGATGTCTTCTGACCCTGTCGCAGGCGCGTGGCGTTGCAAACAGTGACCAAGGCTCCAAGTCAAAGTTCTGCACAAGCGGGAAGTTGTTTGGGGTAACTGTTAGCTGCTCGTCAGACAGGTTGCGAAGACCTAGCGTGCTTGGTGCTTTCGCCGAGCTGTTAGGCTCTCTTGCTTCCTGGTTGACGTGTGTTGCCATGGGTATCGTTTGTTGGCTTCTTTGGATACCCTGTGAATCCGTCAAGACAATTTGCGGGGGCAAGACATTTTTTACCGTGAAAGTTATTTTTTACCGTGGGCAGTTTTCTTACCGTTGCCGTTGCCGTTGCCGTTGCCGCGAAAAGTTAATTTTTTACCGGGGAAATTGCCGTGGCTGTTGCCGTGGCTGTTTGCCAAGGTGCAGTAGTTTCGCAATAATTCCTTCCAAACTACTGCGAAATTTTCTCAGCGCAGTAGCTTCGCAGTAGTTAGCTCCAAACTACTGCGGAATTAGCTCCAGTGCAGTAGTTTCGCAGTAACTACTTCCAAAATAGCCGTTGCCGTTGCCGTTGCCGTTGCCGTTTTTGTTGCCGCGTTTTTTTGCCGTTGCCGTTGCCGTTGCCGTGAAAAGTTAATTTTGCAAGTCAATTAAGAAGTCACTAATTGCCGCGAAATGGGAATTGCCGTGAAAGTTAATTTTTACCGTGGGACTCTCTAATTGTCTTGACGGATTCGTTGGGTATTGCCACAAGACGTCTAACATCACCGGATCAGATTCTGGGGGCTTAGATCCTGCAGGCGGCTTTTGCCAGGACGCTGGCTGGCCAAGTTTTTCTATTGCCACGACAACGGCTTGACAGACCGTCGTTTTTTTAACCGCGCAAACGTCTGCGCTGCCTCGATAAAAGAAGCGCGAAGTGTCTGAAGAAGTAGATTCGTTGCCTTCAACGCAGGCGGTGACGAACGAAGAGTTGTAAAGGGACCTGGCAGCGCTGCCGAGCGACATTGTGCAAGTCGCACATCACCTTCGCCGCATGCTCGGCTCCTAAAGAGTGATCTTCCGATCTTCTCCTTCCATATCGCGCTCTGTGTAGCATGCCCGGTCGCAAGACTGTGAGCCTAGCTGAGGCTGCCAAACGTGGCTACAGCAAGGATAGCAGATTGGCCAGGCGCGTGGCGCATTTGCGCCAAGTAAAGTTTGCTGATGCCACTACGCCCGGGAAGGAGACGGTGGTGTACGCAGCGCTGCGTGCGCTGTGGGAGGACAAGCTTGCCTCCGTCCAGGCTTCTCACCTGTTCTGCTTGTATCTGGCTTGCTATGTGGTGGCCCGAATTTGCGCGGGGAGAAAGCAGTGGATGATGCCTACTGCTCTGGTTGGCGGGCTGCTGACGACAGACCTGTTTGAACGGCTGATCCATGCCGAGGTCCCCCGCCACGGCACTACATTGAGATCCTGCGTCAGGCAGATGCATCTACACTCAGTGTTCAAGACCGGCATCGATGTGTCCGATCAGCAGCCAAGCGACCCATTCAATGACATGGGCTGTCAGTGGTGGAGGCACTGGACCCATACACCCTTGTCGCCTGAGCAACAGCGTCATGTGCTTGCCACCATGCTGTTCGTCCTGGCCACAAGGTCGCGAGACACACTCGCATTTTTGCTATCAAGGCCTGACTTTCTCCTTCGCAACTGCGAGTGCTTCGGCCAACTCTACGATGCTCTCTACGCTGCTAATCGCTTTCCTGGTCTTCAGGCTAACCGCGCTCGTAGCAAGCACACGTCCGAGCAAAAGACATGGAGCGCAGAGCGCTTGTTGGAAGGATTGCTTCGGCAGTTGTGGTATGAGCCAGCGGCGTTGTCAGGAATGTTGGCCGCTCAGACAGTGTCGCAGCTGGCGGATGCCCTCGGACATGTAAAAGGTTTTGGCGGGGAACTGGTTTTCATACACACGCTCGAGTATTTGCTGTCCTGGGACGCAGTGGCAGCGTTTCCATTATTTGGTATTCGGAACTACCGGAAACAGCAGCTGACCCGTCACTGCCGACACGGAGCTAACAGCCAGGCTTTTCAACGCCTAGTTTGCGCACACCGCCAGCGACAGCAGGCGGCGAGCTGGGGCTACTCGCAGATATGTTCTGAAGTTCGCAAGTGGCTGCCGAGTGAAGTCACTTTTGGCCATGTGAGCGTAGCTGTAAAGTCCGACTTTTGCGTCTCTGATGCCAGTCAGAATGCATGTCAGGCCATTGCCGTCTTGCAGTTTTTATTGAGTGGAAAGCACGGCGGCAAGGAGCGTGCCGCCAAAGGAGCCGGAAACGCGCTTTAGCTCCCAACATCGACTGGAAAGGAATAAACATGATGTGCGGCTGAACAACCGTCAATTGACTCGGTGCTCTCGCACTCGCAGGTAAAAGAGAAGCCGGTGCTGGTATGAAAGGGTGTTGTTGATCTGGAAAGATGTTCTGGTGCATCGTTTCAGGGACGGGTAGATTCTGGACATCGGACCGTCGTGTTTTGTTCGTTTGGAAACCTTGCAGGGGGTCCACTGAAGGTTCTCGGGTGTGTGTTTGTCTGGAGGACGTGGCGGCGTGCTGGGGTGGGAGATCCGTGCGCAGACTCATGTTTCGAACAGACGTCTTTCACTGATTCCCTTGGTGGATGGAGTGGAGTCCTTCATTCCTTCATGCGATTAACCGCATGCCAGAGGTTTTGGCTGAGGTGGTCACATAAACCCCAAAGCAATGTCGTTGGCGCAGACTGCTCTGGGCTCCATGTTTCTGGGGGTGGCGCTTTGGCGGCTTCTTCGCAGATTCGACGTGTTGCCCACAGAGAAGCCGGTGCAGAAACAGCCGCGGACCTCTGAAGAAAACGAGTGGATGGAAGTAGACGCCTGCTGCTCTGATGACAACGACAGATCCGGGGAGGACGCATCCTTGGAGATCGTGCCCGTGAATCTGAAGCCCCGCCCTCTCGGAGCTTTTGTGCGAGTAGGGAATATGAAGCTGACATTGTAGCCAGAGGCTTCAGACAGCTGCCCCGGAAATCTGCATGCCAGGCTGCTGGCTTCGTGTTCCTTCGGCCCGATTGCAAAGCAGTCCTGAACATAAAAAGAGATTCGCATTGCTGAAGGGTCCGACATGGAGTGACGGCCTGCGTCACATGTTGTCCCTGCGTGCCGTGACACTCATACTCCTTCACTAGAATCCGGACGTGTCAATTCCTTGTTTTGCAGGGCCTGAGCATGTTTGGGTTGCCCAGAGCTTCTACGTGGCAAGCTCCACAGTGATGCACGGCAAGCCCATATACTGGGTCCATAGTTTCTACTATGGGGGTTCTTGCTGAAGAAACCAACTGTGGGCAGTATTTTGGCTAGGTCCCTTCAAAGCCAGCAAAGGTTTGGTGGGGTGGGAGGTACTCTATGTGACTACCTCATTGGATCAAGATGTGATTGCTTCAGTGGTTGTCTTTGCACCTTTGCGTGGTCGGGAGTGGTCAGGCTGGGTTGGTTTAGAGCAAAGGGGGCACAGCTTCACTGCAAGGGTAATGTGTTTGAGTTCTTTGACTCACTTTCGCTGGTCCTGTTGGATGATTTTACTGGGGTAAATTTGGTTGCCAATTCAGAAATCACCTCGGCTGATTTGGATGAAAGTAAGTGGGTGGCTCGTCTTTTTTAGGGGACCCATTGTTCTGGTTTTAACATCACGTGGCAAGGTCTACATCACCGTGCAATCACTGCCGCTGCCAATGTCTACCTCTGCGACTTGCGTCGTGGAATGCGGCTGGCGACACTGCAGGCCCGCTGACGTTAGGACTTCGGTTTCGTGTTGATGCCAAAGATTGCCTTGTCACTTGTGGCATTCCTCGTTCTTTTTTCTGAGCCACTGGTCGCTCGCTCGCGTGGCATTTTTTCGCGGAGTACCTTTCCTAATGGGGAGGCAGAACATGATGCAGAACATTTCGGCATCATGAGCATGAGCCATGTGAGCAGAAGCAGGTTCAGCGGCACACGTGCAGTTGCCCGGCATAGCGATCTTTTGCCATGGATGTGCTTTTGCTTTCCCAAGAGTCCCTGAACCTCTTGCTCGACGGTCGAGCCTCCGGGCTCTTGCGAGGGACGTTCACTCCAAAGCGCGGAGATGCCTTGCTGGATTCACTTCTTTTTTTTTTGCATGTTTGGACTTCCCTGGGGCTGCCTTCCCAAGCAGAGCTCCAGGCAAGGAGCCAGCTCCAGCTTTGCCAGTTGCATTTTTGCTGTGCGGACCGTCCGAGTCAGGATATTTGGCTGGGGTTGGTTGCCGTTGGAGATGTTGTGGCACGAGCCCGCCTGGTTGCGGCGCACAAGTTGGATGAGCCGGGACTGCGGCGTGCAGGGGAAGCTTTGCTGGAGCAACAGAAACGGCTGTGCTATGGAACCCCTCACTTGTGGGAGCTTGACAAAGTCGAGCAGCTCGCGGAGCCTTGGAGGATTTCAAGCGCGGCGCGCAAGGGATGCGTGCAGTGGATTCCAGCGCATCGCTGGCAGTCACAGCATCCTGAGCCCGTCAAGCGGAAACAGTCCGGTGTCACGAGAGCTTGGCCAAAGAGGTTTCCCAGAAAACCTAGATCTGACGGACGAGGCCCTGACCTTCCGCAAGGCTTGCTGCTGAAGCAAAGACGGCCAAAGAAAGGTAAACGGGAAAAGCGACTCAGCAGGAACGCCCCCGCAAACCCTCAAGATGCCATTTCTCTGGATCGACATGGCCAGGGTGCAGACTTGTCCCAGCGGCTGAGAGCAGGGAGAACTTTGCCCAGACTGCGACATCTGGCCAGCATGAGCTTGTTTCACCACAGACGACCCTTCGATGCCCCGCCCGATCCTCGTCCAGGACGCTGTGCGCTTTTACGAGGGAACCCTTGCTTCATCGTCTCCACCTTCCAGCGCAGGAAAGTGCCCATGGCAGATGTTCTTCCATTGCAGGAGACGCTGGATGAGGCGATCCTGACTGCCTCTCGAGCAGACACAGAGACGTGCGCGCAAAGAGACTTGCAAGATGTGGGCTGCAAGCGCGTGCAGATTCAACCACGAAATCTCCGGAAGGGCCGGCTGCGTTTCAATGTCTTGCCTGCTGCGTGTGAGCCTGGAGCTGCTGATGCCCATGACGTGCAGGTCTACTTGGGCCCTCTGCAAGCAAGTGCAGAACGACCGACTGCCCCAGCCGCCGCAGGGGAAATCATCCGTGTGGAGCCAGCTGCTGCCTCCGAGCACAAGAGCTCGCTTGTGGACGGGCGCTGGCATCAGGTCGTGGTGCCTTGGTGTGAATTCAAAGACGCAGCACGCTACCGCCTATGCATACGCTTTCAAATGGTTGGAAGCCTCGCAGCTTGTTGTAATGCAGTTTTGTTTTTTGCTCCGTCTATTCAGGTCCGACGAGATCTTAGTCAGCGAGCAATCTTTTTGCTTGACACCCCGCTGCCATATTTGCTGGATACGCGGCCGGAGCGGTGCTTGACGTGTGGTAAATCTTACCCAGTGAAGCCAAGCGACATCCGCCGCCACTTCCCTACCGCTCTATCCTGTCGTACTTCAAAGCAGCGAGTTGTATGGTTCTCTGGGCGCTTGCTGGTGCAGGCGGTGCAAAAATTTGCTGAGGTGCCAACTGCAGCCGCTGTGAAACGCTACCTGCTCGACTTATACGCTTCGAACTCCCTGGATCTTGCCACTGCTCAGCAGCAGCTTGGTGTGCTATCTTGTCTGCCGAGATTGCGGGCTTTGCGCGGGGTCCTGCGGCAAGCGTTGATGTCGTACTTGCCAGGCCTTGTCGAAGAGATCCAGAAGTCTGCCCACGTGTACTCTGGAAGCGCCGTCAAAGGCGACGGCAACTTCAAGATAGCTGCTCGCATCAAAGGCCAGCTCGTGGATAAAGCCACCCCACTGGACCCTGCGGGTATAAGGGATGCAATGGCCCGCCCAAGCTGTAAGAGTGAAGGTTTCTGTCGGAAGGGTAGTCGAGGTAGTGCGCGTAAAAAGCATTGCCCAGGAGCTCGCCCTGCCACTGCTGTCATCTACGGCTGGTGTGGCGTCGACGGGTGCCTCCTGAAGCCGTGCGAACTCATGCCCGTCGAATCTTGGGCCTACATTCGACCAGATTTGGAGAAGTTAGCAGACCAGATGCCGCTCGCCAGATTACAAGTTTTGCCTGCTTGTGCTTTCTTTAGTATGCTGCGTGCCACGCAGTGTAAGGCGAGCGAACAGAGAAGCAGCCGGGCTCGCGCAGCATGAGATCCCGCCCGTGTATCATTCAACTGACACTTACGCGAAACATCGCAAGCTCCTGCGGAGTTTCTGGAGGCGGAAATACAGCACTGGTGTGCAGAGCGTGTCAAGCACAGCTCGTGGAGATGCGTACTCTGTGGCGCCCGGCCCCGACCGTGATCCCACCAGGAACCTCAGCATGCAGCTTCGGTATCATTTGGGTCGTGTCTGCTTTGGTCACGTGAGCTGCGTGTGTTGCTCAGTTATCTTTGGGCCAAGGATAACGGGAGATCCCCAGCATGAAGTGCTGGCGCTGGGCCGACTGGTGCCTCCAACCAGCAGCGACGGTCCAACATTTGTTGCGGATCACAGGAACCTTATGGAGAGGCTCAGCTTGCCACCCTCGCCGCATCCGACCTGTCCGGCCGATCACGTCTTCCAAGAGTTGCGACAGGACAGCAAAGGGGGGGCGGGGACTCTCGTTTGCCAAGGTACTGGTCGGCATGCGATTAGCATTTCATGCTGACATCTGAGCTCAGGCCTGCTTTTGTCACATCCCATGAATTGAGCTTGCCTCAATGCAGCGAACTAGAGAGGTTGCATGCTGATTCCACAGGCCTACACTTCTTTGACTGTGTCTTCATTCCCAAATCCTAGGACATTGCACATGTCTGATCATATCAAGGGACAGGAAGGGAAATACCGGAAAATCAGCATTTGAATGGTCGCGCGTCAGCCTCAGGATCTTCAGCCTCTCTTGCAAGAAGCTGTGCGGAACAGACGCTTCGATCTTGATGCCAGCAGCGCTTCGGATCAGGAAAAGAAGGACATGCGAGATTTCCTTGGGCAGGCGTACGCTTCTCGTGCACAGAGCTGGCTCGGCATCTTCGGGAGTTCGCCGCCCCGTCAAACCTTGGCACGGCTGTGCGGGCGATTTGGGGTAAAAATCCACGACACTGAGGGCAACTACAATGTGCGCGACGCCACGGACTTTGTCGCAGAAGTGCGCAGGATCCTGCGGTGGTATCGACACAGAAAGAGATCCACGCTGCTGCGAAGGCGACAGGTTCTACGGGAGCGTCAGCAGCGCATCATCCCCGGCAAGACGGGCGTCCTGAGCAAGAAGGTCCGGGCACACCTCCGACGACTTCGGCGGCCGGTTCGAGTGGAGAGCTTCATGCACTGGCGAGACATGGCGATACAGACATTGCGAGCTGGGATAGCAGTACAAAGCGGCACTGTCTGCGTGGAACGCTACTGGGCGGCCTTGCTGAACTACATTGCACCTCAGGTCCGGCAAATGTCGCCAGCTTGGTGGTTCGTCTTGGCACAGTTGAGCTTCGCCAAGTGGAACTACCAGCATTTCAGTCTTGATGCCCTGCCCGGTATAGCAGAGCGAGATGCTGAAATCCAAAGCAAGTTGTCAACCTGCACCTTGCTGGCGCGAGCCCTTCATGACAGTGAGCTCAGCGAAGCCATCGGATTGCACGACCTTTTTGATCCTTTCCGGCATGATGACGATGCGCAGTTTGCGGATGTCCGCTGAGAGTGGTCTTGGTGACTAGTACGTAGCAAGCTGAGGTCTCGTGCGTACACCTGGCAGTGTCCTCTAAAGCCAAGTGTCTTGTCCCTATCGCTGGGTGATGCGTAGAATCAGTTTTGACTTGCGCTGCCGCGGCGAACAGCGCCTCCTCTTGGACACTTGTCAGGCAGCACATATTATCAAGTCGAATGGCACACGCCATAGCAGTCCTCTCATTTCCTGAATTCAGAGGCTGTCGCGCAAACGATGCCCTGCGACGGACAACAGAGTACTTTCGTGCCGACGTTTGCCATATGGGTATGTCTCTAATTGGGGTACCCCCAAAATGGTGGTTTTCCTGTTGGTTTCCCCTTAAAATCAACCAAAAAGGAGTTCTCATATAAAAAAAACAAAACCATATATTATTTCCGTTTGTTTTTTGCCCCGAGCGCTTCCACACAATAGCCTAACTGCTGTTGGAATCGCGGTGGTCCACGTTTGTTTTTGGATGACAGCTAATTACAGATACAGGTGCCATCCATCCTTCTGCATATGAAGCCAGGTTGCAGAGACCCAGCGTGCTTGGTGCTTTCGCCGAGCTGTTAGGCCCTCTTGCTTCCTGATTGACGTTTGTTGCCGCGGAGCAGTTTGGGTTAGTTGACAGTTTGACTTACTGCTGCAAGATGTCTAAATCACGGGGCCAGATCTTGCTGGTAACATCTTGGGGCCTGAGCCTGGCGCGGTAGACGTCTTCTGACCCTGTCGCAGGCGCGTGGCGTTGCAAACAGTGATCAAGGTTTCAAGTCGAAGTTTTGCCCAAGCCGGAAGTTGTTTGGGGTAATTGTTAGCTGCTCGTCAGACAGGTTGCGAAGACCTAGCGTGCTTGGTGCTTTCGCCGAGCTGTTAGGCTCTCTTGCTTCCTGGTTGACGTTTGTTTCCATGGGTATCGTTTGTTGTCTTCTTTGGATATTGCCACAAGACGTCTAACATCACCGGATCAGATTCTGGGGGCTCAGATCCTGCAGGCGGCTTTTGCCAGGACGCTGGCTGGCCAAGTTTTTCTATTGCCACGACAACGGCTTGACAGACCGCTTTCCTGCCGTCAGGGGTGAGGTGAAGTCATGGTCGTTTTTTTTAACCGCGCAAACGTCAGCGCTGCCTCGATAAAAGAAGCGCGAAGTGTCTCAAGCGTCGGAGTCTGCAGCGTTTGGAGGTCATGAGATATAGCAAGGGCCTTCCCGCGGAAGCTTTTTGGGCAACTGGTGACCCCTTTGCCTACCCAATAGTTTTGTTACCTGCTGAGCAAGATTTCATTCAGGAGAGGTTTTCTTGCGAGAGGGTGTGCGGGCCTCCCGGCGTACACCCGTTCGCGGACTACCGGGAGGGGTTTTCTTGCGAGAGGGTGTGCGGGCCTCCCAGCGTACACCCGTTCGCGGACTACCGGGAAGGGTTTTCTTGCGAGAGGGTGTGCGGGCCTCCCGGCGTGCACCCGTTCGCGGGTTACCGGGATGGACTTGGCACTGCACCACCTTGTTGTAACAAACCGTCCGTTGCATCTGCACCTAACAACACACTGGGAACTATGAGCGTACATTGGAATTTGGGGGAGAATGGCGCTCCCCCTGGTGAATTTGATGACTTCGAAGATCCTGGTGTTGGCAGTGTCAAACAGAGTTGCGGTCCGAGTGAAGTCACATGTGAGGGTGTTTGTGCCTGCGTGAGCGTTTTTCACATGTCATGTTGCGGCATGCACACATGTTTGCCAGTGTCTGCAGTTTTTTTAATACTCGTGTACATGGCGTGCTCGAGCGGAAGGGGCAGTGCTGTGCACATTTTTTGATGGAAGAAGTATCAGTGCTCTGTCCGCGAGGCTTTCCCTGTACGCTGCCTGGTGCGGCAGCGGTGGGTTAGCTGCTGGCGCTGTTTGCGCCGGTGCGTGACGGGATGCTATTGCCACCGCGATGTGAGACGGCAAGGTAAAACGTCAGCTGGAGTGCCTGATGGGAGATATATATATATATATATTGTATCGGCGTCTGCAAATACAATTCAACTTTTCCAGCCTGTTTCTCTGTTCGACTGTTTGCTCATTACCTACTGCGCGTGCACGCCGCGAATAAAACAAAAAAAACCGAGTTTTTTGACATTCAGCAAAGACTCGGTTTTTTTCGGTTTTCCCATTTCCATGGTAGACTAAGCTGTAGGTCTGTATCTAGCAGCGCAAAACATCTCGGATTTCGGCTAACTCTGCGTCACCGAAAACAATTGGGCCAGACGGAGGCTCAATGAAGAAGGCTTGCGCTGCAGGACACGTAAGACATCCACTTGTGTGCGTGATAAAGTACACATTGTGTCGGAGTCTGCAAGTAGAATTCAACTTTTCCTGCCCGTTTGTCTGTTCGACTGTTTGCTCATGACCTACTGTGCGTGCACGCCGCGAATAAACAAAAAAAAACGAGTTTTTGGACATTCCGCAAAAACTCAGTTTTTTCAGGTTTCCCATTTCCAAGGTAGACTGAGCCGTAGGTTTGTGTCTTGCGGTGCGAAACATCTCGGATTTCGGTAAACTTTGCGTCACCCAAAACAATTGGGCCAGCTGGAGGCAGAATGAAGAAAGCTAGCGCTGCAGGAGAGGTAAGACATCCGCTTGTGTACGTGATAGCGTATATATTGTATCGGAGTCTGCAAAATAGAATTCAACTTTTCCTGTCTATTTCTCTGTTTAACCATTTTTCCTCCTTATCTACTGCGCGTGCACGCCACGCATCAGCCAAAACAAAAACGGTTTATGAAATTCAGTAGGAGAGAGACGCAGAGCCTTCCACCTAGTGGTTGCATGTTGCTCCATGCCGTGACTACCCCGTGGTGTGTTTGTTGCAACAAGCAGATGCCATGAAGCAATGAATGCCTGGCTGCCCGCTGCTACAGCCTTGCCGTGGGCAGGGCTGCCCAACATGCACATGCTGCAGATAAGCCACATCGATTAAGCCATTTTGTGATGCCACATAGCCAGTCTCAGACATAGTGAGAACCCAGCCAGATCTCCAGACACTTTAAGTGGGACTGCCACTTGGAGCCACTTGGAGCCACTTGGAGCCACTTGGCGCCACTTGGAGCCACTCCAAGTGGCACGGCCACTTCAAGTGGCACTGCCACTTGGAGTGGCTCCAAGTGGCCCCAAGTGGCAGATTCAGAATCCTCCGATTGCACGTCCTCAAAAAAACATGCCTCAGATTCGCCCTTTGGAAAAAAGGTGAGGTGTCGGAAGACAATCGCCTTAAAAAGGCCCCGGCCCCCTGTGCACTTTCCACCCCATCAACTTCCATGATGTACAAAGAGGGATTTTGGGGACAACACCTCTGGTTGATTTGGAGGGGTTGGTTCACCTGCTGCTGGCTGCAGCGAGGTCACCGTGCACATGCGTGAGGGCAGGAAGGCGCGGGCCAGGCGTTGCGATGTGTTGGCCCACCTCATTTTTCCCCCCCTTTTTCTTCATGCGGGATCAATCATTTCCGTTTCGTGCACGCTTCAAGAATATGTCACGACCCTCCGCACTATCCAATGGCCCCTTCCCTGTGTTGGTGTGAGCACGAGCCACAAAGCCCAGCGGCTGCGTTAGGGCCCGCCCACACCGCGGATGAGGGGCGGGGAGATGCCCACGCTGACCGACTGGAGGAGGAGCGGTCAGCTGATGGTTGGGATGGAGATTGCGGAGGGCACATGGCAATACCTCCCCAAAAGCCTTTGCCAATCTTGCGGGGGAGCTGTCAAGCCGGACGATCTTCTTCGGGGCTTCTTGTGAGCCTGATGGAGGAAATGAGGGGTGGAGGGGGGGAGGGAAGAGGATCCCTGTGGTTTCCGCTTGCAACCCTCACTGCGGGAGCTGCAGCTCTGACAATGTGGGCCATATTGCGCCTTCCTGGGGTGTGGCGGGATTCCTCACTTTAGCCGTAGCCTTGAGCCACTTTACTATTTTCAGGCAGCTTTGACCTGGTCAAAACTCCTCTTGAAAGAATATGCGAGAGGCAATCTGGCGTTGGTGTGTTGTGTTTGTCTGTTATGTGCGCTTAACCATGCACACATTCCATTTCGGAGCGATTTTGCAAACTCTGGGGTCATCGCCCGCGGAAGCCAGAAGTGTGTTCCAATAGCTCCGATCTCAAAGGGCCCTGCCAAATGGTGCTCGCATTGAGCATCCCTGTGGTTTGCATCATGTTCTGCCACTTCGCCAGTGTAATTGCAGGTTCGGCCAGCTTGGAAAAGAACAAGTCCAAGTTATAATGATAGCTATCACCAGCTTCCATGTCTCTTCCTTGCCCTCACTGCGACGCGAGTCTTTCTTTCAGGGCAGCCTGTTTTCCGGATAAAGCCAAACGGTAAAGGGAGGGGCAATCAACAGGTCGGGGGTGGAAAAAAACAGAACAACATGCTAGCAGGGAAGTTCCAACATACCCAGTCATTGACAACTGCTTCGGGACCACACTTCCAATTTCCTTGCTCCTTTCCCGTGTCAGGCTGAAATGTTTGAAGCACCACGCGCAGATTTGGCGTGTCCCATTTGGCAACGCCCCCAGTCAATCTGTGGGTTCTTTCTCAGGCCCTTTCCGAGTTCTTTTTCCCGGGTCGTTTCAAACGCCAAAGGCGTTTTCTTGGGATGGGTTGTTTTCGCATATCCTTGCTGTTGGCATGGGCCTTTTGAAAGCGCCGCCCGGCTAGGACTGGCTTGGAGGCCTTCGACGAGGCGTTTGGATGGGGATCGATCCATGGAGCTTCGGGCTGATGGGAAAAACGAAGGGCCGAAAAAGACATCGACCAATCAACGTTGCCCACAAATTGATCTTAAAAAAGCAGCGGCATTCTCGGAAGTGATGTGTTTGGTTGAAAAAGATAACCAACCATTGCCGGGGGTTCCCCATAATCCGTTCCCCCTACTGTAATAGTAAACGCGGACCCCTCCCCGCCTCTCCCCGGGGACAACACATGTCTATTAATAGGGTACTTCGGGGTCGACCGGATTTCCTCTTCGGTCCTCGTCCAAATGAGCTCCCCTCCTTCCCGGACGCGAAACAAATCCGCCAAAACTGCAATTTTCCGAGTACCAAATTTAAATAACACCGTTCAAGGTGATTTTTGTTTGTTTCATCATCATCATCATCATCATCATCATCATCAACATCATCATCATCATCATCATCATCATCATCATCATCATCATGATCATGATCATCATCATCATGATCATCATCATCATCATCATCATCATCATCATGATCATCATCATCATCATCATCATCATCATCATCATCATCATCATCATCATCATCATCATCATCATCATCATTTTTTTTAGCAGAAGCTAGTGCTGGAAACGATTTCCAGCTGCTTCGATTTACTTGGCAGGCTGTTGAGCGCCCTCCTTCAAGAGGGGCCGAGAGTCGCCCAGAAGCTTTGACATGACAGCTCCGATGGGGTCAGTGTTGTCAACTAGAGAATTTTTTGGAGATTCGCGGCAGACCCTCCCGAATCGCAAGTTGACAGCATTTCATGTGAAAAGCATCACTTCCTGCAGCCATTTCCCCATTTTGCAAATTCACTTGCCATGGCAAAGCTCATTGACGTCTCGGAGCTGACGAAGAAGTGGCGTGCGGAAGAGGCCACGAAGTTTTATTGAACACTTTGAGTCAATCAACCCACAAATATTGGGGAAAAACCACGAAAAACAATGAAACATGAAACATCTTTGAAACATCTTTGAAACATCTTTGAAATCAACCACCCAGCCATCTGTGATATTTGTTTTCTCCAACATCTTAAACCTGCCCATCTGCGAAGATCACAGCGGCTTATCGGATCCAACACACCGGCAGGACGAGGGCCTTCTCCCGCATCGACCAGCCGACATACAATCTCGCCTTGGTCGAGATTTACGTTGAGAATGCAAAGGCTCGGCGGGAAAGCTCCAATGCGGCCTCTTCCACCGTGTTTCTGTTTTAAAAACACAGGTGTACCATCAGCCATTGTATTCCGAGTCTTATTGTTGGTTATTGTCCCCCATTTATTGGCTTGCTTAATATTGACCCACTGCCTGTGTTTGATGCAAACCTAGAAGCCCCAAGGTTCAGATTATGAAACTTGGGGCTTCTTGCCTACCTTTTCAGGTTCAGAAACGTGTAGTGTAGTAAGGGGTTAAAGGGATGATGAAATGGTCAATTTCCCCCCTTTGGAGAATCTACGCAAAAATGATTGGAGCAACCCTGGTAAGTCTGGTAAGTTGGCATGGCAAAGAATGTCGCTCTTGTCCAAATCAACACGCCCATCGAAATTGGATCTGGCAGATCCATTGTTTTGGATGGGATTCTTTGGCTGCCGCGTTTGGCTGGACATGCGCAAGGTTTCATCTGGTGACCGTAAGTTGATCCTGTCTAGGCATGTTTTACCACTGCTTTCTTGGAATAAGGCGTAACTAGTTGGAAGATCTTGGTGGATTTTTTCCCCGAAAGACAATGTTTTTTGTATAAGATCATGTAAGGTAACGATACATTTATTAAATTTATTAAGACATATGTTTGTTCAATCATTTGTATTTATGACCTTCGTTTCTGTGCGTATTTTTGGAACATCTTCCAGGGCAACCCTGGCGGCAGCGACAAGTTGGCAAACGGCCACCGTTTCGATTCCGTGCCCATTGCCAATGGCATGATCGAGAACGGCATGAGCTGCCAGATCGTGAATTATGTCAAGGAAGAACACGATCTGTTCTTCAAGGTCCTGGAGCGATTCGATGGTGTCATCGTGCGCTGTAACCCGGGTCAGATCACTGCAGATGGTGGGGATCAGAATAAGTTCGATGAGTCCATGATGAAGCTCTCCAAGAAGATTCCAGTACCTTAAACATTGATGCTGTTTTTTTTGGCATAATGTGATGCCAAAGCAAACATGTACGACGGGTCGTTTGTTTTTTTCCCGGACAGGTGATCTAGATCACACGAAAATGAATCCAGTGTCGATATATTGGATGGTTTTATGATGTTTTATAGCAGTGGAATCCCATATTTGAGCCCGAAGTGTTTCCATGTTTTTCCCCTGGCTCGTTGGTCCGAGTAGGCAGAATGCACGGTAGCATCCGATGTTTGTGGGACACTTCAGCCACAACTTGCCCTGGTGTCGGTTCCTTCAGGTCTGGCCCACGGCAGATGTGATGAGGAAGATGGGTGCCAAGGATGCGCTCTGCAAGATCAAGCACATGGATTTCGGGTTGCCGGACACCATCGGGCAGCTTCGGCCGAAGGGAACCCCCAGTTGGAGGAGATGAAATTTGACCCTGAAAAGAACAGTCTTTAAAGAAATCATGTTTTTGAAGTAAGGTTTCTCAAGGATAAATTGAGACCTGTAATGTCCTATTGTTTATTAGTCTTGAACTTCTAGCATAGATGTTTGGAGGCGTTGCCAAGAATTTCCTTGGTCAAGGAGCCTTTTGTAGGATGTGATACTGTGATAGTACTTTCGAACACATCGTAGAATTTGTCGTAACGCGCCGCGCTTGGGCGCTTTTTAGGTGAGCTGAAACTCAGTGAGTTTATCAAACCTACGCCATTCCCCAAGCTGATCAGCTCAGCTGCCAAGGTACTACTCGCCTGAGGACTTCAAGACAGGCTTCCCTAAGACCATCGCCTTCCATCCTCGTGTTGTCAAGCAGAACAGGGGCTCTGCAGGTGAAGGAATTTGGATTGTCAAGTTGAAAAGTGAAACTCAGCCACTTAGACCTTTTCGATGTCTTTTTTTGTGAGATACATTTGGGTGTGAGTGTAAGCTGGTTCTCACATGCCAAAAACGAAGAGAAACACCGCAATCCTGTGGTGTTCACAGAATTTTGGGCTGACTTTTGATTCACACCATGACCCACGCCTATCATTTACAGCTGCTTAATTTGTTGAGCAAGGAAGCTAAGGAAGCTTATTGCGAAGAGCCTCGTGTTTGCTCGATGGATGCGCCCTTACTCTTGATGGAGGCCAACGACAACCATGTGGAAGAGCACACTGTGGCTGAGTTCATCGAGTTCTGTGTCAATGGTCGCACTGAGAAGTCAGGCACCTGGAGCTCCCAAGGCTCTGGGAAGTACTTTGAAGCTGGAGGCCAGATGGTGGATCAACGTTATTTGCCGGGGATCAAGGAGGGTGAATCTCGTTTCTTCATGGTCGGCAAGCAGTTGTACAACGTCGAGCACTACGTGTACCACGGTGGCGTCGGGGGTGAGACGGAGACTACAGTCTACCCACCGGATGCACCGCAATATGCTGAGACCAAAATGAAATTAGAAGGTGAAGTGGAAGACTATTTGGAAGTCTTGGGTCTCGACATGGATTCTTTGCCTCTCTTGTGGGCGGTCGACTTCATTCCGATCAAAGATCACAAGTTTCCCTTGACCATCGGCGAGTTCAATTGCTCTTGCCTTGGCATTTCGGCCTTTCTCAGCGCCCGCGGGGGAACCTTGTCGCAATGCTCTGTCGGGGACATTGCGGCAGGGCAAAACATGTGCAACTTTATCGGGGAGAAGGCGCGTGAGATCTTGGACATCCAAGGATCATCCAAGCACAGCCTCCCTGTGTTGCCGATAGATTGCAAGCTCAATAACAGCTATCGAGGATCGGCTGAGCTCGATGGGGGTTATTTTCAAGCCCCTGGTTTTGTCGCTGTGGAGTAAGGGTGACGTGTCAGCTTTACTCCAAGAGTCTTGAGGAATGGGAAGATCCGACATAAGAACCATCATTTTTTCGCAGCTGAAAGCAGGTTTTCTACCACTTTGTGATTTTGAACTCGGATCCCCCGAAGTACGGTGACCAGCGATACAACATCACTTCATCCAGAGATTTGAAGTGTCAAATCAGGAGGATCTTCAATATTGTTTTTGCTCGTATGTTTTTCTGTGCAGATCCAGGTTCGTGATTGCCTTCTTGATGGCAACAGGCTGTCATGGACCGTTGTGAATGGCAACATTTGTCCACCTGGCTTCCGCTTTAGAGTGTTAGATGGGTCACTGCAACCTTGCGCTTTTGCGATGAAACTCTCAACTGAATGTGTTTGCATGTGTAGCCGAGATGCATCGGTTGATCGTTGTCATACTCAAAGGCGCTCGGCACCGGGCTGGCTCTTGAAAAGAATCAGGCCAAGTCAAGCAGTTCAAGCAGCTCATCAAGCACCTTGGAGCCCGCGCTAGTGGCACTACTGGCAGGTCGCAGTTTTTCACGGTGCATTCCTGGGTTTGGCCGCGCAATGAGCAGCGGCCTAGCGTCGTGTATGTCAAGTTTAATGCGCAACATGGGAGCTGGAAGGCGTTGGCGAACCCGGTGTCTACCCCATTGTGGCTAAACGTAGTGATTGGTTCTTGGACAGAGGGCGAAAGATGAAGATGCTGAAGGTGACGCGGAAGCAGCTGCCATTGATCCCAGCCTATGCCATCCCTGAGTCCCTGATGCTTTTGAGCGGGGCTTCTCATCCTAAAGTCCCTGAGTCCCTGAGTCCCTGAACTTTCCTGGTGGAACTTGTGATGGTTTTGAGTGGGGCTTCTCATATTAAAGTCTCTCAGTCCCTGAACTCTTTCCTGGTGGAACTTGTGATACTTTTGAGTGGAGCTTCTCGCCCTAAAAGCCCCTGAGTCCCTGAACTCTTTCCTGGTGGAACTTGAGAAACTTTTGAGCGAAGCTTCTCACCCTAAAGTCCCTCTTTCCTGGTGAAACTTTTGAA